CCTGGCATGCGTGCGGCCCGGGTTCGATCCTCAGCACCACATACCAACAAAGATGTTGTGTCCGCCGAGAACTAAAAAATAAATATTAAAAAAAACTCTCTCTCTCCTCTCTCACTCTCTCTTTTTAAAAAAAAAAAAAAAAAAAAACAGCTTAAAGTATAAGAAGAAAATATTGGGAGATATTTTAATAAAATTCAGAGTAAGGGAGGCCTTCCTAAGCAAGACACAAAGCTCAGAAATCATGAAAGATTAACAGATCAGATACTTATAAATTTTAATTTATGCATGGCAAAAAATACCATAAACATATATAAAAATCAAGTAGCAGATTGGGAGAAAATATTCATCACATAATTAAAAAGGTTTTAATATTCATCCTGTATAAATATTTCTTTCTCTTTTTTGTACTGGGGATTGAACTCAGGGGCATTCAACCACTGAGTCACACCCCCAGCCCCATTTTGTATTTTATTTAGAGATAGGGTCCCATTAAGTTGCTTGGTGCCTCGCTTTTGCTGAGGCTGGCTTTGAACTCGCAATCCTCCTGCCTCAGCTCTGGAGCTGCTGGGATTCCAGCTGTATAAATATTTCTACAAATAAAAAAAATAAATAGAAAAATAAGACTGTGAATAGGAAATTTAAGGATGAAATGTAAATAATGGCCAATAAGCTTATGAAAAGATATTCTCTCAGGAAAATAATACTTATCTTTTGCCTTTTGGATTAGCAGAAATTTAAAATTTATTGATTATATTAGGGTGGGTTATATCAATGAAACAGCATGCATGTCTTTCTCTATAGAACATAGGCTGACAGGAATGGGGTTGATTTGTTTTTCACTCACTCCACTCAAAATAAGGCTGGAATAATAGTCTCTATCATCATCTTATACTGGTTAGCCCTTTCAAGGTCAATTCAAATGCTCTCTTCTCTGGAATTATCTTTCCTTCCACTGTTCCTCCACAGAATTATCATGCTGCTATTATATCAAGTCATTATTATATCATGCCTCTATCTAATCTGTCATGCTTCTGTTATGTATTAATATCTACCTTATATGATTATGAGACTGAAAGTTCTTAGTCTTTATCTTTTTCTTCTCTGCATTATTGATATAGCATTCACAAAGGGGAGAAGTTTTTTAACACATTCATTGATTAACTCACTACCATACTGAGGATTCTCAGGATCAAAGGACAATGTCCCTATCCTGGAGGTATTCATGGGCATGTAAAGGAGAAAAAAACTATGAATGGACAATCACAGTTCAAAGATACTGTGAGGAGAGGAAGCTGGCATGAGACACATGTATGTACATCGGGGTAGGGGAATGATTTAACTCCATGKTTCTGTGTGAGGTCATAACCAATATTATACTCTGGCTGTATTGAATTCCATCTAGTTCAGCCTCTCCATTCCCATCCCAAACCATTTCCCATTCCTGGCTTTGCTCATGCTGTCTTCATGCTTTCATTGCTCTTGATTTTTCTTCACTCGTCTGACTCAGCTATAAATGTATCTCATGTATATGATGCTGAGGATGGAACCCAGTGACCCACACATGTGAGGCAAGCGCTCTGCAACTGAGTCATAATCCCAGCCCCATCATCATGTATCATTTCACTAGGAAACTTTCCCTGGTCTCTTTCTTCCTCTCTCTCCCAGGCTAAGTTAAGTACTTCCTCAACACTTTCACTAAACTCAGTGCATAGCTTAGTCTTAGGACTTACCATGTCATAATGAACTTATCTATGTTATGTGTCTTTTCAATAAGACTTAACTTATGTAGGAAAGGACCAAATCTTATTCATCTTTAGTCACCTTTCCTCCCCTTAATCACAATTTGGCATATAGTAGCTCCTTCATAAATGTTTGTTGAAAACCAGAAAGAAAGCAAAACAGTATGACCTATTCAAGGGATGGCAAATATCCCTACTCATTTGTTCAACATATATTTAATTTAATTTTCTATCATGTGCCAGACTTTGCTAGGAGCTAGGGAGAGTAGTAAGCAAGAGAGACACCAGCCCTGTCCTCAGGGAGCATTCAGTTGGGTTTCATGTGGTGGGAGTGCAGAGTATGAATGAGAGGGGGTGGGACATGCAAACTGGATCATCACTTAGGGCCAGGTCCTAAAGAGCCTTATGTGCCAGGAGGTGACAGGAAGGCTGCTGGGGCARAATGAGTCAACCAGGCAAGTCAGTGTGATATGTTATCCTCCCTCTAGTGCCTTTCCCCAAGAGCTGGGCAGGGTCTCTCTTTTCTCTCCAGTGACAAGGGGCCACACTCACCTATGGGCGCAATAATCCCAATGACAGCAGCAGTAACTGTTGAACCCATCTTGCCGCCTTCATTCCCATCTGCAAAATACAAACATTGGCAGAATAATACTCCATTAGAGTGAGTCCAAGCCTTTACTGGCCTCAAGCAGTAAGAACTACCCAACTGCTTCTCATCCTCACTTTAAATGATGATTGGCTAATGCTTAATAGTACAGTATTCCTAAATGCTATCCAACTCCTGTAAGGCAAACAGGACAGAAGGTGTTATCTCCATTTCACAGAGGGAGAAATTATATCTTAACAGATAAGTGGCTGGGACTTGAACTCAGAACTGGTGACTCAAGCCCCACACCCTTCGGATAGCATCACAGGCTGGGGAGTATGTAAGGCAGGGTGAGCACTTAGATTTTTATGTTGCTGAATGACTGGATCAATTGCATTTTTCAGCCACTGTTTATTGCATTGTCTATGGTACTGATGATCTGTCTGTCCATCTGTATTAATAGTTTATTTTTCTTAAGTAATTATTGGGGCATAATAATATAATGGAATCAAGAGCCCAGGCTCCTGCATCAGAATTTGGGGCTCATGTCCTATTTTACTACTCATTACTTGTGTGACCTTGAGCAAGTTTATATAAATATAAATACAGATATAGATGTATATGTATCTATCTATCTATATAAATGAAAATACACACTATCATGTTATATTTCTTTATCTTTAAAAATGGAGATAACATTATTATTTTCCTCTTAGGGAAATGTAAGGATTAAATGAGATAATTCATATAAAATATTAGCACAGTGCCTGATACAGCCTTGCCTGGTTCAAAGAGGGCAATGCATGGGGTATGGGTTGTTGTGAGATCTACATCTAAAAATATAGGCAAATACACATTCTAAACTGGAAAATACTTGGAAAATGTCCTGTATTTTCTAAAAAGTATGCTGTGTCATCCCTTCTCACTCTCACAAATATCTTCATTATAGTATATTTACAGTACTTTGTAGTTTAAAAGCGTTTTTCCTTTGGATCCTCTTAACAGCCCTATGAGGCATGAAGAGAAGCTGTTATCCACATTTGCTCCGAGTGAGGAGATGACTGTTCCCTGGCAATGGCCCATCCTTTCAGTGTATCTGTTTTTCTGATTCACCTCAAGTCAATCTAACTAYTGAAGGGAGAAGAGGGCTTGCATTGCTTACAAAACTAACTGTGGAAGTGCTGCCGTCCTCTCACTCTGGGGCCACAGCAAACACTGAGAGTGAAATTAAACCTACTGCTTGACAGCGCCCATGGGGAGGTCAGAGGCTCTGACCCCAGATGAGAGGAACTGGAATTGATGTGTTCCACTTGCCTCTCCAAACTTCAGGTGAGTTCTCAACTCTAAAAATTCAGCTTCTGCTGGCAAAACAGGCCTAATCAGAAAGGTGTCACCAGGCTGCTTGGTTTCTGGGCCATCCATGAATAGAAAAAAATGTTAAAACATAGTTTATCCTTTTATATGAACTCCCCCTGGCAGGTAACTCAATTAAAAAGGTATTTGCTCATTAATGAGATAAAATAGTTCTAACAGTGACAATTACTGTTCCCAGTGATTTAATAAGTGGTGAACTTAATTATTTTCAGCCCAGGGTATGGGAACAGGAATGAGTAGACCATAGCTAAGGATGTTAACATTTGGGCAGCTCAATGAGGATGCTGGGAACTGAGATCAGAGCTTTCCAACCCTGAGGGACACCTTTCCTACACATGTCAATAACTCATAAAGCTCAAATGTACATCCAGGCAGCAGAGGCTATTTATGTGCTTCCATTTATACTGCCTCCTTTGTCTCTTTTGGCAAACTTGGGAAGCAGGCAGGGAGTGCATTGTTATTATTTTCTCTTTGTAGGGAAAGAAAATGAGGCTGAGAGATAGGCTACAGCTTCCCTACAGATCCCCTATAAGTTAGGGGCATCTACAACTCCTAAATCACAGTTGGCATTCTCTTTCCCTCTGCTTCTTCCTCAGAGATATGCAGCATTCAGCTCTGGTCTAATCTCTCTTCCCACACATTCCCATCCTGCTTCCACAGGACCCTCCCATGTCRTGAAAGAATACAGAGCTCATTTCCTTACAATGCTGGGAGTGGTTGCTGGTTGCAGGGCTTGGGGTAGATGGGCTGATGCTGGGAGCCCTGGGGACACTAACTGAGCTTGGGACAGCAGCTGCCAGGCTTGGTGTGTCAGTGCTGTGATTCTGGTAAGTGGGGCTGTGGATGGTGGTCCCAGGTGCTCTTGTGATGGCAGCTACTGTTCTCGTCGTAGTAGAGGCTAACGTCGTAGTTGAGGTAGATTGAGGTGCTGGAGGGAAAAGACCATGGAGGTCACTTGGACAGAGCATTTTGTTGCTTTAGTGCCTAGGTTATTGTCTTGATGAATTACACGTAGAAACTTATTCTCATGGCTTAGTTCAAATGCCACTCTGGTGAGACCCTGCCTCATCCCTCTGAATAGGCCACCATCTTCTCTTGAGCCAAGTCCTAAGCACTTTACTTTGATTCAAAAGATGAGTCATTAAACCATGCTACAGAATTAAGTGTGGGAAAGACCACTGTAAAAGACTAGAGGGAAGGGAAATCATAAATCTAGAAGCATTTTACTGTGGTATTTTAATATCATTAGGTTTAAATTCTTATTCCACTTTTAACAATGGAACCTGAAAATCATATATGGTACAGGAAACCTGTGCTCATATAAAAGGTCTTGGCTTTACATCAAAATTGGGAAATAAACATAATTTATGTGGTTCAAGTATTATATGATGATTAGTTCTAGTCACATCACAAAAGGGCTTCTAACGTAGTTCTAGGTAAGAAATAGGCAAACACATAACCATCCGTATATAAATAGTAATAAAGCCATGGAGATAAAGGATTCTTAACTTGAGGTTTTCAGGGAGTTCCAGAAACCACCTACAAATTGAATTTAAAATATTTTGTGGCCAGGTATGATGTAATTCCAACTACTTGGAAGGCTGTGGCAGGAGGATCATAAGTTCAAGGCCAGCCTCATCAACTTAGTGAGACCCTATCTCAAAATAAAAATAAAATGTCTAAGAATGTAGCTCAGTGGTAGAGTTCTTGCCTAGCATGTGTGAGGCCTTGGGCTCAATACCAATACCACCACCACACACACACACACACACACACACACACTCTAACAACTGAGTTTTACATTATTATTATTATTATTATTATTATTATTAATGTATATGTGCATTTTTTCTTGGGAGAAGAGAAAACCTTGACAGGCCTCTGGGGACATGCACATTCAAGGAAGGTGGAAAAAAAGGAGTGTGCAAAGGCAACAAATAGCCAAAAAAGATGGAGGAAAACTAGGAGCATACTATGTCCCAGAAGTCAAGGGGGAGATTTCTGCCAAAGGCCACCCCTCCTGGAAGCTCTGCTTACCTCGATAACACCTCTTCATGTCTGGGCCCAGCCACATGGTGTCAGGACAGGCACATGTGTACTTGGGAGAATGGCTGGAGATTTGGGGAGCAGGAAGGCACAGGTACTCACAGCCTCCATTAGGCTGGGCACTCAGCTCACAGGCATCTGCAGCTAATGGCAGAGAGAGAGAGAATTAGGGCACAAATAGGACATGCTGTCTTCCCACCTCCCATTGATGAGGCTCCTCCCACTTGGCTTGCTCAAAAAGCTTTCCCTACTTATTGCCCCCATCCAAGGTCTTGCACATGCTAGGTAAGCACTCTACCAACTGAGCTACATCCCTAGCACCCCCTACAATTATATTGAGCACCTTCCAATACTATACCTCGTGCTTTATTTCTATTCTCATTTGATTCTTACAATTCTGAGAGATGGGTATTATGTTAGATTCCAAAAACTCATGACCCCACCCCCATACCCCATAACATATGCCACATCTCTTAAATTTCTAGATCTAGAATCAGGCACCAATCCTATCTCCTTACCCTCCTTTGCGTCCCCATCTTCACCCTGGCTGCCAACACTTCAGTTACAGTTAGAATTAGTATATTCTAGTAATGGGGAACAAGACAACCTAGAGGAATGATCCTGGATTCTATATCCAACCAACAGCTGACTTACTGTACAGACCTATGACACTTAAGTTTATACTATTGCAAAATGGGTACAAATAGCAAATAAGAAGTAATGTGTCATAGCAGAAGAAACTCTGGAATCAGACCTGAATTTAGATTTTAGTTTTACTACCTGCTAACATTAATTTATCTCTCTAAACCTCAGTTTCCTCAGCTGTTAAAGGAGAAGAACAATATGTACCCTTTGTAGGATCAGAAAAAATAAGAAATTTATATATTTATTTATACCCAGCCTTATTTCGCAAAAAGCTTGAGGCAAAATAAGACAAAATATGTGATGATAAAGCACTCTATCAACAAGAGACAGTTGTTATGCTGAACCGTGATATAAATGTGAACATGGTCTGTTTCATGGCAGGAGAGGACCAGGGGACCAAGGACCAGAGACCAGGGAAGGCTCACCTCTTGGCTGCTTCAGTTCATGGAAGATGACAATATCATGTGGGTTGTTGAGGTTCTCAGCCAGGATGGAGATTTCTAGGCCATTGAGCCGATTTGCACTGAAAATGGCTTCGTTCTCCAGGTCTGTCCAGAATACCTTGTCCTGTAAAGGCACAGATATGGAGGGTAGGAGGCCTAGAGTTTAAGCTCATGAACTCAGTCTGAGGGCTTGGACCCAAATTATAGTCATAAGAATTGCCTTGATATTTCCCCTGAGCTATCCTATCCACAGATTCTCAGAGGACTGAGAATTAGCCTATGATCTATGATGTCAACACTCCTGGTTCCCTATTCTCTTTGAGGATTACTTGGTGATTCTGTTCTTTGACCTGAAGGCCACAAACTAACTCACTAATGCTAAGCTGGGCCTGATTCCTGGGCCAGTAGAAACCCAAGGTTAGATCTCTATAGTTATTACTATCACTGGAGTCAGGGACCAAGACTGCAGAGGATACATGAGCTACTGAGTACTATCTGCTGCTGGGCTTCCTACAGCCTCTGATACACATCTAATACACATAAGTCCATGTGGTTAGTTCATTCAAGCCTATATGTACATCTGCAGGCAATCCACAGTTACTGTGGTATAATCATGCATCCTTATCCACAGATCCAGACTCATACCTAAATGTTCCCCTATACACATAAAGGCATACTTGTACCTAAATAAACTTGTCTAAATACTGGTGGACATATTTACATCAATAATATGATACAAGCACCAGTGCATACAGGAATGGATATTTTTACTCTGATGTACTATACATATACATGCACATACACATACTTTACACAAACACAAATATGCTCGAGCACACATATATGTGTCCAAACACACCTGCCTTTTGAAGCAGGGGCTGAACTTAGAGATGGAGCTTTGCCCACAATTCCAGAGCAATGCTGAGTGAAGCTGATCCAAGAAAATATTATCAAAGCCCACCACAGACTACTGTCTCCTCATTTTTTGTTAGCAGAGTTAGTCTCAGGGAAGAGACTGATGTGTAAGATCTTGGTAGATTCTATCTTCCTTGTTCCCCAGGAGGAAAGATTGTTGGGATCAGGGCAGAGAAGGGCCCTGACTCCTCACCTTCTGGGGAGCTTCTTGAGGACTGGGATAGTGTCTGATTTATTTCTATGACCCCAAGTTCTGGTAAAGGTCAATAGAAGTATGCTGAATTGCATGGCATCTCTCAGGCCATTTCTTACAGAAAATGACTCTAAGGAAACATATATTCATTCCATCTTCCCTTCCTCCCTTTTTTGGGTGCTGGATGCTGAGGTTGGAAGCATCCATATCTAGCAGTCACCTATAAGAAGTGCTCTGAGAGAGGCTTCTAGGAAGAGAGCACAGGAAAGACTACCTGGCCCTTGTATTCAGGCAGCTATCAATTTGTGTACAAACATGTCAGCTGGCTTCCCTGTTCCTTTGTTTCCTTTTGGACAAGTCTCAGGGAGGCATCCTCTTTGAACAGCCTTCTCTAGGCTTCAGCTTCTTGGCAGGGTCATGCCTCCCTTCACAGGACTCACCTCAAACACAGCTATCCCAAAGGGGTGGCTTAGGAAGTCAGGAGAGAAAATCAGCATTTTTCTGTTGCTTCCGCTGAAGTCAATGCTGGATAGCTGGTGCAGCTTGGAGTCCACCCAGTACAATCGCTGGTTCAGTAGATCTTGGGAAGGAAGAAGGGGAGGAGGGATCAGGGTTAAGATCTTTGTACCTCCCCACTGCCTACATTCCCAGGCCTCAGACTGCACCCAGCCTAGGGCAACAACCATCAGGGAATGAAGCCACTGGCACCATGAGGAGGACCTAGAAACAAGAGCCATGGAGTTCCAGACAGTCATCAGAAAAATAGGGCTCACCTAGGGTGATTCCGTTGGGCCATTCAATATTGTCTGATACCAGTGTTTGCCGGTCCACACCATTGAGCCCAGACTTCTCAATCTTGGCCTGGTACCCCCAGTCAGACCAATACATGAACCTGAAATATAAAAGAACTCAATTTGGCTTCTTGTTAGGGATATGATTGGGGTGGGCTGATTCATTAAGGCTCAATGACCCATGGACTAATTAAGGATTATACATTGTAGGAACTAGGAATACCTCTGAAATCCTTTGGAATCATCAAATCATAGAATTAGCAGACACTTTAGCCTTCATCTAAGAACCTGGAGAAGCCTAGACTCCCTGATTCTACACAGTCTCAGCTGAATAGTCTATGAGCCCATCTTTCCCATTTCTTGGAACTCTAATCAGAGCCTTAGCATGTCAGTGTGGGAAGGGTTCTGCAAACTTTCTCTTTCTTGGTTCAGAAAGGAGAAAGTGGATGACCTTCTCAATTAGGTAGCCCTCCCTGCTCCTGAATCCTCAGGCTGACTAGGATTGGTAGCAGCTGACCATTGTAATTCCAAGATAGTGCATTTGACCTCACTCCTTTGTAAATAGTTCCTTTATTAAACCCTATTCCAGTATCTTACTTTGAGTATGCAGTGCATTTCCTGCTAGGACCCTGACAGAGCCATAATGGAATAGGGCAGGTTTAGGGGACAGGATGTGGCAGGTGCTGCACCAGGTCTGCATGAGAACATGCAGTGAACAGGACTGAGGTGAGGGTTAATGAGGCCGCTGAGTGTCTTAGAGTACCGTGCTGGGAGCACCTGACTCATGCTCAGTAAATGGCAGCTATTACTTCCCAAGGCCTCACAAACATGCTCATGTGGCCTGACTTGAAGAAGAGTATTTTCTCATTTGTTTAATAACTAAAGAAACAGCAGAGGAAGAAGCTAGCAAGGCTTCACATGATACTTCTATTTAAAAGGTCCTATTCTGTTCAGTTCCTAACTTGTAAAACAGATACGGGCAGAGCAAGGCAGCCTAGTTGATGAGGAGTTCAGAGACTAGGCAGCTGAGGTGGGAATGGAGGTGGGTAGCCAAGAACAGAGCAGACCTAGTGACTTGGTCCTCAAATCTTGCTAGCTGTCCTGCAGACATGTTTCATTTAACTACTGAGGCCAATGGAGGAAGTTATACAGAGACAGATTTGGGATTATGAGGGAAAAAACTGACTTTCCAGTGGGCAGAGCTGACCCACAATAAAATAGGTCCTATGGGAAGTAATGATCTCCTGCCCCCAGAAGTGTTTGAGCAGCTGCCAGATGTCCATCGGCAGCAGGCTGAGGAAAGGCCTCTGCCCAGGAGCTTCTACCAGGCCATCTCCAGAACCTTGCTGTGCTCCGAGATAATTCTATAACGCAGTGGAGTGGGGAGTTGGGGGAGAACCCTGGCAAATAATGTCCAAAGAACCCCTGGTCTGGGATTAATAGGATAAAGGCTGTGCACGAACTTTCTTCCCCATGGCCTGTGTCTGAGCCACCCAGAATCTTCTAGGCAGCTCTTGTGACAGACATGTGAGGACTGAGCACCTACAGTCGTGGAATGGGAAGTTTAGGTGGGGACACTCACCCTCGCAAAGGGTCGACAGCAATGGCCCGGGGTTCACTGAGGTCACGGCTGAAGAGAGTGCATCTGCGGCCACCATCAACTGTGGCCACTGAGATGGTCTTATTGCCTGAGTCTGTCCAATAGATGTGCTTGTGGACCCAGTCCACTGCCAGGCCTTCTGGAGAGTGTAGCTGCTCATCAATGAGGACCTCCTGCTCTGCTGGGTCACTGGCCTTGTCCATGTAGGCACTTAGGAGAAACCAGAGCTGGTGTGAGCAGATATTCCACTTATGGGCCCATCTGGAGCTGCCTGTGCACCCTTTTTCTTCCCTTAGGATCATGACAGTGATTTTAGAAGAATTTGGCTAATTTACATTCAAAATGTTCCCTGAGCCACCAGAATAGTTATAAAGGCATGAATCAGCACAGTCTCTAGTCTGGTGAGCTCAATTTAGTGGGGGACTGAAGCTTGTGGCTAGGTTCAATGACCATGCCCTCTCTCTGGTTCCACAGTGTCTGCTGCCATCCATAATCCTGCCTGTCCAATCCCCAACAATTCTGGCTGTTCTTGGATGTCCTATGGACACCCTGAATTCAACATGTCCAAACCTGTTCATCCTCATTTCCAATCCTTTAGTCAAACAGACTGTCTAAACCCAACCCCAGATCCTCCTCCAATTATTCTCAGCTTAAAGAGCAGCATCAAAACCCCCAAGCCAGACACCTGAGACTCCCCAATTTAATTTTGACTCTTTCTCCTTTAGCCCCACATCCAGTCTCTTCTTCAAATCCTCCTCTTCCAGTCGCAAATGTTGGTCATGCCCTGCTATAGTTTTATTTCTACATGTATGGATGTGAACACAAGCATGTCTGTGTGCTGGGGGGAGGTAGGAATCTAGTAGTCAGAGAAGAGCACTTGGGATACTTGCTTCCACCCATCCATCTACCCATCTATCCTATCATTCTTGCAACAGTGATTCAGGGTCAACCTAGTATCTAGTCACCAACAGTCTTGCCAAGTGGATCTCAGAACAAAAAAGACATGACTTGCTAAGGAGGCTTGGACATACAGGGAGCAAACTAGCGCATCTGAAACCTAGAGTAAACCACCTTGAGTATGCAAGGGCCTCCTGAGTGCTGTCTACTGCTGTGGTCACAGTCAGAGTTCTGGGGGTACTGCCATCCAGGAAGATTTCTCAGTTCCCAGATTGGGTAAAGGTTTCCTCTGTACTTTCCCTGCTTGATCGCCATAATGGATGTCACTGTATATGGGATTCTCCAGGCAGGAACCAGGTCTGAGTCATATTTGAATCTCTGGAGTCTGACACACAGGTATGTGAGCTGCTGTGAAAGTCTTCAACAGAGCCAAGGATTTCTTTTTGCCCTAGTTAAATAGCTCCTGCCTTGAACTTCTCACTAGAGGTCAGACAAAACCCAGGCACATGGGCTCAAGACTGCTCTCCCACCAGAGCTCCCAAACTAAGCGCCCCAGGGGGTGAATGAAATTCTGGTGCTGCCACAGTCACTGTGATCCTCTTTCTATTCCCAAATGCAACTCTCCTTAGAAACCCTAGAGGCAGAGGCTACCCTTCCCCTCCTCCTCTGTCAGCTGCTCTTTACCCTTTCCCCTCCAAGCCTGGAGGGTGCATGAGACGTGCCACTCACCTATAGATCTTGCGGTAGGAGAGGTCACACCAGTAGATGCGATTGGTTGCAACTTCCACATCTAGTGCCACAACATTCTTGAGCATGGGGATGAGTCGAGAGTAGTCCCGCTTCACCAGGTCTATCTTCCGCACCTCATGCCGGTTGGTAAAGATTAGGGACGGGCTCTTGCCAGCTGCCATGCAGGGAAGTGAGAGAGGCTCAATGTAAGAGACAGGAAGGGAGTCTGGAGAATAAGTCTCTGTCACTAGATTGCTGGGTAATGGCTCATTTTCTTGTAAAATAGGGGTGATAATCCCTACTCCACAAGTATAGAGGAGCAGATGAAGTGAGTATAAAAAGCACAAGATGCAAAGTATCACATATGAAAGGAGTTCTTTCTTTTCATTAAATATAACCCCCCCCCAATCTTTTACAGCTCCCCATTTCCTCCTTCGGCCTGCACCGAGGCCTTCTGAAGTATCCAGACTCATCAACCATCCCCCAACACTCCTTGATTCCAGCTACAGACGACTGTCATAACCTAGCCAGGGCAGGGCTGTGCTGCCTTGGACCTGTGCTCACATTCTCCTCTCCACCTAAAATGAATTTCTTCCCAGCAACTTTCACCCTTCTTTGCCTGAGACCCCATTGCCATAGTTCAAGAAGGGGCCATCTAATTAAGGAAGTGCCTTAGAAGTACRGCGCAGAATGGAGGACAGAAATCAGATCCTTGGGGAGGCTGCTGTGAGTTTTTCATGTTGTGAGTCTTTAGTTTATACAGAGTGTGTCTGGGAACATGACAAGAGATGAAGCTGCAGAGACAGACAAGCCACATGACAAAGGATCCTGTGAGCTGGGTGAAGTTTGCTTTATCAGTGGCAGAGTGGGACATGTGTGATATCTAACACACATTATATACATGCATCGGACATAATACACAACTGCCCATGTATACACAAAACCCATTTTTAGAGTTAGGGTTAGATTTTAGGAAGATCATCACTGAACTAGACATTCCTGGCTACTCCAAATGGACAGACTCTCCCAGGCAATTTTCATATGTACCCGGCTACTCTTGAGCACCAACACTGTCTGAGCGGCAGCTCTAAGAAATACCTGTCCCTGGAGCTGCCTGTGTCTTCTCCTTCTCATATTTTCCAGTTGACACTTTTGCCAGCCACCTGGTCACTGAAACTGTGCATCTGAGCCAGGCTAATGTGTTCCCTGGGGGCAGGGTGGGACCAGCACAAAGCATGTAAGGTCTGGGGCTGGGTGTATGACCTGTGTATAGTGATGAAGACTTTTACAAAGAGGGTCAGGGAAAGAGGGAGGCTATGATACAAATAAAGAGCCCATAAAATAGGGCTTTAAGTGCAGGCAGGGGCAAGGAGGAAAGCTAGGCTCTAAGACCAGCTCTGCCACTGACAAACTGATTTTCCTCCCCAACTTGACCTCTCTGAAATTAGGAGCTGGGTTAGAGGGCATCTCAAGTTGTTTTTAATGAAGAATTATGACAGTAAGAGAGACGGTTGCATTTCTATGTAAATGTACTTTAGATATCCTTACATATATACATTGAATTTTATATATACATGAATAGTTGTTTATTGTCCCTACTATAGATAATGTGTCACATGTCCTATGTGGAGGTTAAAAACAGACTATGTGGTACACATGATGCGGGTGTTACATAGTGTATAGTGTAGGTGTATATTTTTTGGATTTATGGGCTACATATTAAGCATCATGGCTGTTGTGTTGTTTTAATCTCTATGTTATATGATGTATTTAAGTGTATGAACTCCAGACTAATGCTTCCAACTGTCTACTCATAGCTCTACTTGGAYATTTAAATGGTTTCTTATACTCATCAAGTCCAAAACAGGCTAACATTCCTCCAAAACTGATTCTCTCACCATCTTTCCCAAGTCCAAAAATAGTGATCCTATTTTTTTAGTTGCCTGGCCCAAAACTTTGGAGTCATCTTTCACTCCTTTTTCTCTCACTTCCCACATTCAATTTATAAGCAAATCCTGTTGGCAGGCCTTCAAAATATAACCACAGTCTGTTCACTTCTCAATATTCCCCCTGCAACCACCCTGTCCCACGCTACATCACCCCTCTCTCTTTACTGAGATAACCTCTCCAGCGGTTTCCATTTCCTTGCTTGCCCTCTGCAGTCTGTTCTCCACACTGCAGCCAGACAGTCTGAATGGCACACTGCATTCTCCCTCTACTCAAGACCCTTCTGTCAGGAAATGCAGTCAGCCCCTAATAATAGTCTAGAATGCTTTTGGGGATCTGTCCTGAGTCACCTCACTAACTCCATCTCTTTCTAGTTTCCTTTCTAGTTACCCCGCCTTCCTCACTCTTCCTTCAACATGTCAGGCATGTTCCTGCCTTAGGGCTTTTGCATTTTTGATTCCTTCAGCCTGAAATGTATTTTTGCAGGTAAGAGGTAGCTCATTCCTTCACTTCCCTTAGGTCTTTATTCAAATGTCACCTTCTTAATGAGGGCTCCCCTGATCATTTTATTTAAAACTAAAACCTACTACCCTCTAGACTTCCCCATCCCCATTTCCTACTTTATACTTCTCTTTAGCCCCTATCACCATCTGCTAGACTATATTTTATCCTGATTTCTTGTCTGTCTTACCCATTAGAATGTAAGTATACAAGGGAAGATGAGGATTTGTGTACTGCTGAATCGCCAGTTCAATATAAAGAATTGAATAAGGTGAATTAATTCAGTTAGCTAAATGATCAATGTGTAGGACTACACGTCACGGTTTTTGTGTGGGCTGCTCATGCTCTGCATGTGGTCCCAGGGTGCCTATATATTGTGTTGTGCAAGTAYAGTCTCTGGGGGCCATATTGGGAGCTATTTGTAGTGTCCATATGGGTTACTGTATACTATACTGTGATCTATTTCTACACTTTGAGCACAGTATGTGCAACCTGCCTTCTATATGTGGGTGCACGTGACTATAACCACTCTCACATATGTGAAGGCTTGCTGTTTCATGTAGCCCCATAGAGCAGTGGATAGCCTTGGGATGTCCATACCCACAGCCTTGCAGTTCTTGGTCAATGTGTCCATCTCATAGCCAGGGTGACACTCGCACTTAAAGTATCCCTTGTAATTCACACAGATCTGGCTGCAGGCATCTGGGTCCTCACACTCATCAATGTCTGTGGGGAGGAGCAGAGGTCAGAACTGGTAGGAGGATCTGCCTCTCCTTGGGCAGATAGGAGGAGATCTCACCGCCACAGGTCTTCTGGTCCAGAAGCCGGAAGCCCGCTGGACAGGTACACTCAAAGCCAATCTTGAGATCAGTGCAGATGTGGGAACAGCCTCCATTGTTTTGCAGACACTCGTTCAGCCCTAGGGAGGGATGTAGGCTCCTGAGAGTCCAAGAGCCCAGAAGGGATGGGAGCAAGGCAGGGGTGGGGGGCAGAGCCTCAGTGCAGCAGAACTCCCACAGAGCCAAGACGGCTGGAGACCTCGCTGAGCCTCAGCCCTCATTAACCAGGAGAGTACAGATTCAGAGAGGGCAGGTCCTTGGCCTTCCAGGCCAGGGGTCTGTCCACCTCCAGGCTGAAGGCAGTAGGCTTTCTCTGGTGGTCTGAGGTCTTAACTTTCACAATCATGTTTCCTATGATCCCTCTTTCCTCACCACCTCTAAGATGAAGGGGCCTGCATGTGTAACATCCAACCTTGGGATACCCCAAGAGTGCCTTCTGAAATGCCCCCGCTCACACATCTCCAGCTTAGGAAGCCCACTTCCCTCCCGGGGAATAGCAATGCTCCTTATGAAGTTCTTCCTCATAGGATATGCCTCCTCCAACTTGGCCCCCACTCCCAGTTCTGCTATATGGGCTTGGCCAGGGTGCAGGGGCTCCCTCAGAACTTCCTTAAAGTGCTTATTTCTGGCTCCCTGCCATTTAGTTGCCTTTCTCTGGACATACTCCATCTGTTCACGTCCCTCTCTGGGTAGGGGACAGAATCAGGAGTCTGAACAACATCCTTGCCCCTTACCAGGCTTGAGGCTATCTAAGACTCCTAGGTCAGGCCTTTTCCTACACAGACCTGTGGCTGAGTCAGTTCTCTCCTATATGAACCAATACAATGGACTTTTTTCCAACTCCTCCACTCTCAGCACCTGTCCCTGTTCCTCCACCTAGTCAAAGGCCTGGTCCCAATATTACCAACTGCTTCAAGGGATGAAGGGATGCCAGGAGGTCATCTGGGTCTGCTTTCCCCATCCTCCACTCCCTCACCAACTTCTGGAAGGTCCTAGGGGAGGTCAGGGAGTCCAGGACCAAGGCTCACCAAGTTCTCACAGCATCTTCTGAGCTTTAGAATCACAGAAGGTTAATTCTATAAGCCAAGGAAAGGTGCCACACCACCCCCTTTGCCCACCAGACTCATGCACTGCCACTTCAGCCAAGTCAAGCAGAGCTGAGCTGAGCCAGCCATGGCCATGCATACAGCTGGTCTGAGCTGCCCACCCCAGGCCATGCACAGCTGTGGGGTCCCCCACCTCCAGCCTGAGCCATGCTTAAGGAATGTCCCCTTTACCCCTGGGCCTCCTCCTGTTTCCCTGGAATGTTGGTGCAACTGAAAGAACAAGACCATAGCAACCCCATGACTCATGGATCCAGGGGTGGCTCAGCCAGGTTCAGCCCTGGGAAACCTCAGACACCTGAGGATGGACTGAGCCATGGTAGCTTTGGAGTAGTTGGGGCAGGGGTGGGGGTGGGGTCACCTTCAGGACTCATTCTATCATCCCAAATCTTTCCTGACCTTTCTGGCACCATATTATTCCCTGCGCGCCATCCATTCATTTCTTTCATTCACCTGCTACCTCATTCATGCATCCACTCGCTTCCTTCCTCTCCTTTCACAGGTAGCAGCATCTCTATGATTCTATTTACTGAGCATTTGATGGAGTGGCATGTAGGCTGGCTCTGAAAGGGGAAAGCTCACAGTGACTCTGGCTTCTAATGAAAGAAACAGAGTTCTCCAGGACTGATCTGGGTTGGGGGAAGAAAATGGATAGCAGGTCTGGATCCAAGTGTCACTGTCAACCCTTCCTTAGAAGGCCTGTTCCTCCCTAATTCTGGTAGCCTGGAGGTGATTCTACTGGGGAGTGGGAGAGGAAGGAAGGGGGTAGAATGGTCCAGAGGCCTGAATAGCATTTGAAACTTCCATGGGAGGAAGCAGTGATGTCACTTTCCCCAGCACGTGCACACACTTGCATGCACACATCTGCATGCACACACCTGCATGCACACACACACCAGCTTATGTACAGTGGCACACACAGACACACAGACTCCATCAACACATTCACACAGAAATCAGTACACACAGAGAGATGTGTGAATGTAATTTTCCTGCCTTACTCAGATAAGATATGGATACAGACACTGGCCTCTCACCAGCCAGCACAGAGACAGGAAGAACACGCACAGATACAGACACATGCATACATACTTCTCTTTGGCGTGCCATGCAAAAGATGAGAAGAATTTAGCAGGTTAGTAGTCCCTGGCTACTGAAGATCTGGGTGTGGGGGGGAGATAGGCTCAGTTGCTCCTGCTTCCCTGTTCCCCTTTCCACAGGCTCCTTCTTCGGGGCCTTTTCTTGGAAAGGCCTATGGGTGGTGGGTGGCAGGGTGATAATATCTCCCACAGATGAAGTCACTCAGCTACTCTTCCTTTCGCATTGTTTTTGTTTTACATTGTCTTGTTTTTTTTAATCCTCAAAAGGAGAGTAAAGACCCTGTTCCTGGGGAGCTCCAGAGAATGAAGTTCCTCTCAGTACCCAAGAGAGGAGGTACTGGAAACAGTCTGCCAGGAGGAAGGACAGGGAGGGGCTGACCTAGACTTTTCTGTCCAAGTCTCCTTAGGGCCTCAACCTGGGATCAGCAGAGAAATGATGCCTGCACCTCTCTGGGACCACACTGGTTTCCTGGCATGTCCTCTGGGATGCTAGCCCACCTTCAATGCAGAGCTTCTGTTCTCTCTAGACTGGAACCCATCCTGTGGCTCCCATCCTGTAGCTCCAGCCATCAGGACAGCCACCTCATTCCAGTTCTAGCTCTAATCCAGCCCACAAATCTGGTCTCTGCTGCCTGGCCTGGCCTGAGCAGTGGCCCTAGGATGTGCCTCAATTGACTGCCTGGCTGCTATTCTCCATGTCTCCCCTACAGAATCCCCTTCAGGAGCCAGAAGCCTTGAGGCCAGGGCCTTAGCTAGATCAGCAGGGTAGGAACACCGAGGAAGAAAGTTGCAGAGCACACACTCAAGAGTCTGAACACGAAAAGAATAAGGAGAAGAGTGAAGTTTGTGAGAAACAACATACTTTTGGGGCATTTGGGCTGGAAAGGAAAGGCCTTTAGAACTTTGTAAAGATGTAGAACAAGAGGCTCCAAGGGCAAAGAACCTCATATAAGACAACAGGACAGCACACATGTCCAGAGAGAGGGTCAGAGCAGAGGAGCATGTGAGGGCCTTGAAGTCGGACACCAGGATGGGGCATGGCAGGAGGGTTAGTCCAGCCGTTGTATGTAGACAGGTACCATACCACACTCTTTCAGAAGCTCATCCGACCAGTCCCGGCAGTCCCTCTGAGCATCACACACTTTCCCGCTGTCCACGCACTCTCCACTCTTACACTGAAATTTGTAGGGACCCTCACAGGTTGACTCTGTTGGGCCAGACAAGAGAGTGGACAGTGTCTGTGAGACCTTGAGCAGGTAGGTCAGGGCTGGATTGGTCCAGGAACCACAGAAGATAAGCAGAGTTCCAGCCCCAGCCCCCACCAGTCTAGAGGGTAGCTCAGGACAAAGAGCCAAATTCGGGGCTGGGGAAGCACGGCTCACAGACAGGATCCCAGGAACAATCACAGATACATGCTTTGACTAGCTGGGGAGAGCCATGGGGGTCTGTGTCTGATCTGGCAGCTCTATACATAACAGCTCTATAGAGACATCAGAGGCTGGACTGACCATCTCCTGAGGGGGGACCTTTGCTCCATGGACTCCGAATAGGAAAGGCTACTTAACTGCCCAATCTGTTATGCATTCCCCTGGATGACTAGTGAGTAAAGGTCTCTGCTCCTTAGAGGGGCAGGTGACAACCAGAAGAGTCCTCTCAAAATCAAGGGGGCTCCCTGAGGAGCAGGATTCAGTGTCTGTTCAATATACTAGTGAGGAAAGTCACTTGGAAGCTTAGTTGCAGGGGGTTGGGGGACAGGGGGACTTCCTTAAGTGCCCTTTCATCTCTCCTTAGGTTGCTTTTTGCAAAGTTCTTTTAAAAAAATCCAGTTCTGGTGCCATTAGGACTTCATAGGAGGGGAGTCATATAATTTAGGGGCAATGATGCTCTGGGGAGAAATACATGCCAGGGACCAAGGGGGGATCTTTTCCAACTCTGCTTTTTCCAGATCTGGGAGAGCTCAGGGCTTCTTCTCAGGGAGGATGCTGCCCCATTGCCTGTGTGAACGCACCCTGTAAGCAGCCAGCTTCATCACTCCCATCTGGACAGTCTTGTTCCTGGTTGCAGCGTTTGATTGCAAGGACACAAGTCCCATCCCCACACTGGAACTCGTCCCCACGGCAGGTCCCCAGCACTGCTGGAAGAGGGCAAGAGGAGATGTTCGGGGTCAGTGTGGTTCTAGGTCAACTCTCCCCCCAAACCCCACACCATATCTACCCCTGGCAAGAAAAAAACCAGTGGCTAAGCTTAGGAGTCCTCAAAGGACACCTGGCCAAGGCATCTCCAGTGTACAGATGGGGAGACTGAAGCTCAGAGAGGGGGAAGGCTTTGCTCAGGGTAACAGCACTCTGGCTGGCAGAACCACAAGTAAAATTCAGGTCTCTTGTCAGTGATCACCTAGGGCCACTCCTCCAGAACAGACATTTGGCCTTCCATTGAGTCTTAGTGCTCATGACTTAATGACTTTATCCATTTAGCAAGCCCTGCCTGACCCAGGTGCTGTGCTGGGGATGGGGACCCCATAGACTTGCAAAAGAATCTCCCCATCCTCTAAGAACTCAGGGTGCAGAGAAGGGCTGAGGAGTACGTGGAAGAGGGCATGACAGTGTAAGATGAGGACAGCAGGGACCTGGGGTGGCCCAGTGGAAGGACCCAGCCCAGCTGGGATAGTCAGATTGTAGAAAAGGCTGGTGAGGAGTTCCTGAGTGCACAAGGTCACTGTTTAGAGGCACTAGTATGTGACTGCCTGGATGGGGACAGGGCAGTGGGGGGGAAAGAATGAAGGAGAAGGGGAGATTGGGGCAGATACAGGTACCATTGAAGATGCTTGGCTTCTGGGGTCAGACCTGAGCCCCACTGCTTAGTAGCCATGTGACCTCAAGCAAGTCACTTTATTCTCCCAACCTAAGTCCCTAGTAAAGCAAGGCAATGTATTCAGGGTAAAGCAAGGACAAGAAGCCTGCATCTGGCCTACTGGCAGCCGGATCTGCAGGCTCTCGGCAGGGCTGGATGATGTGGAGGGGGCTTACGGCAGTCGGCCTCGTCTGACTTGTCCTTGCAGTCGTGGTCCCCGTCACAGCGCCAGCCCAGGTGTATGCACTCGCCGCTGCGGCAGGCAAACTGGGAGGTGGGGGAGCAGGCTGCCGGCGCGGACGTGGTCCCCAGGCCTGCTCGACCACAGAGCTCGGCTGCCTCATCTGAGTGGTCCTCACAGTCGAACTGGCGGTCGCAGACCCAACGCTCAGGGATGCAGGCGCCACCGACACCGCCACAACGGAACTCACGGGGCCCACAGGCAGGGTCCGCGCAGCCGCGCTCATCGCTACCATCACCACAGTCGTCATCGCCGTCGCACACGAACACCGCGGCCAGGCACGAGCGGTTGCTGCACTGGAACTCATGTGGGGCGCACACTGCGCAGGACAGAGAGGCGGTCGGCCGCCGGCCCCCATCCCCGCCCACCCGGCCCTGCTACGGAGGCTCTTTCACCTACAGGAGGGAATGAGTCCTGCTGAAGGCCTGAATGAGGGACGTGAAGCCAGGCACAGCAAAGTGGAGCTTCCAGTGGTGACCCTGGGCAACACAATTGCCCTTCCTGAGCCTTATGAGCTTCCCTGCATAAATGAGAGTGAAGATTCCTGCCGTGCTGCCAGCAGGATGGTGGAGCAGGAAGGCTCTAAGCTGCAGAGCATTGCCTGTCTGGACAGAAAGGCAATGATCTATACAGTCACACTGCAACAGGATGTGAGGTTGTCCCCTATATCACAGCTGTGGGCGGCATAACCTACACATTCCATCACAGGCCCCGCCCGGGCATTCCCTGCTCTGATCCCAGCACCTCACTCCTGAACGTGTCCAGCTCCAGACACCTTAAATGGTTTGGTGATGCCATGCACAAGGGAGGGTCCTACCTCCAGGCCTTGCTCAAGTGGTTCCACCCGCTGGAAGTCCACCTCTTGCCCACCAGTGCCTCTTTTTCTGTCATCAATTCTTTTCCTTCAAGAGCCCAAGTTCCACCTCCTCCATAACACATTTCTTGTTTCTCTACTTGGGACATCTCCCACTGCCTCTGCCCTGTGTGCCTTTCACAGCCAGCCCAGATGCCTGGGTTTCACATCCTTCTCCATCTGCTCCAAGACAACAAACAAACAGCCTAAAGGTGACCCTATTTTGTCCTGAGGGTCTGGCATGGAGCTCCCAGCAGGAGGTAGATGTGGAGTGGATGGTTATGAGACTGGCCTGGRTGTGAAGAGTAATTGAGGGCATAGGTCATGGCCCTGACTGTGGCTCTGGGCTTCCCCTCTCTGATGGGCTGCTCTGAGCTCAGAAGCAGGGAGGACCTTAGAGACCAGTCAGCCCACTCGCTAGTTTACAGATAGGAAAACTATGATTCAGAGAGGGGAACAGCTTGCCCAGAGTCACACAGTCCATGGTGACAAGAGAACCAGAACTGAGGTTTGGGGCATTTTCTTCCTTTTTTTGGTACCAGGGATTGAACTCAGGGGCACTTGAACACTGAGCCACATACCCAGCCCTATTTTGTATTTTATTTAGAGACAGGGTCTCACTGAGTAGCTTAGCGATCCTCCTGTCTGAGCCTCCCGAGCTGCTGGGATTACAGGCGTGCACCACCCCTTCCTTCCTTCTTTGACTCCTTCTCTARCTTTTCTTGTCTTCTTTCCTCTTGGAGTGTAAGCTGTTTTCAGGGTCACAACTTCCTTGCCTCCTTCCTTCCTTTATGTCTTCAGATACTGGCCAAGAACTAGCTTGGGGACCCAGGTGAGTCATGGGTGCAGTGGCTGTGATCACAGGTAACAGGGTAGTTGCAGCACCAGATCTCTCCACGAGGGGTCGCCCATAGCCTGTTTATATTTTCTGGTGGAACAATGTCAATTTTCATTGTTATGGAGCGTAAAGTGAGGTCTTTGGTTTCACAATGTAGGCAGCTCATGTCATGTGTTTCTGACAGCTCTACCAAATTTCTGACAGTTGCATTTTTTCTCCTTCTGGCTTTTGAGATGTTGGGGCATTGGTGGGAAGCACATGGTATGGATGCCACAGGCTCTCAAGAGGACGCTGATGCCTAGATTAGCTCCCCTCCTACCTGTCCAGAGTCAGTTTGTACATGTCCAGAGAGGATTCATAGCCTTCTGAGAGTCCTGATAAGAAGTGCTTCTTTTTTGTGGTGGTGGTGATGGGGGACTGGAGATTGAACTCTACCACTAAGCTACATCCCCAGCCATTACGTTGTTGTTGGTACTGGGGATCTAACTCAGGGACACTTAGCCACTGAGCCACATCCCCAGCCCTTTTAATTATTTTTATTTTGAGATAGTGTCTCAGTAAGTTGCTTAGGGCCTCACTATGTTGCTGAAGTTGGCTTTGCGATCCTCCTTCCTTAGCCTCATGAATCACTGGGATTACAGGTATGTGCCAGCATGCCCAGCAGGGAGTGCTTACTAATAATAAGTTCTCACCAAGGTTCTAAAGCTAACAGTAACTTTAAAATCCATGCTACCTAGACCCACACTCACTCCCAGCATGCAAATGGAATAGCCTCTGAGAGATGGGAGAAGGAAGGACACATTTTTCCTCTGCCCAGACAGTAGTGAACTATAGCAGAGAAGCCCAGTAAGACCTAACACGCTTGCTCATATAATTAATGGGAAATATTTCTGTCCCAACATACCTAGGTAGATACTCCTACCCTCTGCCATAGTGGTAGACTTTATATTGGAGGAATCATCTGATTATAGGGATGAGAGGTAAGGAGAGAAGAGGATTCTCATGGACCAGTGAGTCCTTACAAATTATTATAGCTGAAGAAACGAGCCAGTACCATCACTGGGGCATTGAAACTGCTGGTCCCAGACAGGATCTCCCCACATCCAGATGCTCTCTGCTTCAGACCCGTCAAAGCACCAGACCTAGAATTGTGACTCAGAAGTCTTGGGAGGAGATGGCTTTCCCCTGGGCCGGAGGAAAGGCCAGGGTGCACACAGAGAGGCTGTTGGAGAGCACAGGGGTGAGAGGCAGCAGTGGGCAAGTGGCAGGCTTAGGACCTTCTGTGTGAGCACCCATGTCTCTGCCTAGCCTCCCAGATTAGTAGTCAGTCTCCCTGCCCCCATAACCTTGTGCTTCCAGAGGGAGCCCTATGTAGGATTCACCTCAATGTCCCTTCCAGAGTTTGGCTCCAGGCCCAGCACACAGTAGGTACCCATCAAATTGAAACAAGTAAGGCCTAGTCATAGTTCCCCCTGGCCCAGGCCTTATTGGCCTGCTCCCTGGGAAGGAGATAATCCTGTATTTGAAGTTCAGTGATGTGGAATTGTCCCAATGACCACTTCCATCTGTCCCTGCTGAGGCTGTTGGGACTGTCTTCCCTACCCTGTGACATGTGTGCTCAAATCTGAGATTTCTGCAACAGTAGTCCTTCACACCTCAGGAATCTGCCCTCCTCCCCCAGACAATACCCATGCCCTGGCTCAGGCCACCACCATTTCTCCATACAGCCCACTCCCTGGATCCTTTGCCTTTTCTTAGAAATTGGAAAACTTGTGGAATGGATGAGCAGATGTCAGGTGTGGTAAAAAGCTTTGCTGTTCAGACCTGAATTTCAATCTCAGTTCTATCACTCAGACTTGGGCACTTTTCCTTCCTTGTCTGAGCCTCAGTTTCCTCACCCATAAAATGGTGATGATAATGGCTACTCATGAGGTGGTTGTTAGGATGAAAAGAAGAAAATGTCTCCTAAGTGCCCAGCTGTTACTAGTGTCCTGATCATTATCCTTTCCTTTCCACTTGCCAGGCCCCAGGAAAATAGAAGCAGCCACTACTCCCCAAGGCTGCCTGACCATGCTTGGTAGACCCTGGGTTTCTGATCCCAAACTCACAGGTAGCACAGCCAGCTTCATCTGCTCCACCCTCGCAATCCTTCTCCCCGTCACAGCGCCAGGAGGCAGGCACACACTTGTGGCTGGTAGGTCCACAGCTCAGTTTCTCTGCAGGACACACTTGCCTGGCTGTGGAGACAGATATCCATGCATGGTTTAGCCAAGGGGGACACAGGGCATAGTGCCAACCAGTCCTACCACCCAGTTCCAGCCACCTGGCACAAGGCTGTGGGTGTCCCTCAGGATCCTCCTGTCCCACATCTCAAGTTTCTTCATCCAAAGTCCCTGTCTGCCTCTAGGACTTTCCAAATCCAAATCTGACCCCACCATCCCCTGCCTGACACTCTTCTCATGGTCCCTGGTCCCTGACACTCAAGTCCCTCCTTGATCCAGTGACTCCTGCCTGTCTTGCCTGATTCCCCTTCTCACCCCTCTAGATCTTTCTTTCCAGCTCTAGCAACATGCAGCAGCCTCCCTCTGCACTCCTCTACTCTGCACTCCTCCCCGACGTTTCCCAGCTGGGTGCCCTTGGGAGATATAGGCCCAACTAGAGCAGGGTTTGCCTTCCAGATCAGTGACGCCATAATCCGAAGCTGTATATATGAGGGCTCACCAAAGCCCCTGTAGCTTTAGCCCACCCCTCTCTAAGCCCCCTCTTCTAGTAATGGTGCTAAGCCGACCGCTGAGAGCAGCTACCGCATGGCAGGGCCCAGCGGGACTACACAGCTATAATTACTGCAGCCGCAATCAGAGGCTGACTCAATCAGGGGCCTGAAGCCCCAGGGTTGATTCTCAATTTGGAAGAAAGAATGAGAACCCTATTCAAGGCTGGGGGCAGCTCTTATCCTGAGCTTCTCCTGATGCACTTGACAGCCAAGGCAGATGCCATTTCAGACTCCCATGGTTGGCTCCCTGCTGCCTTCCAGGGTGTGTAGGAGGCCCAATCTCAGTGGTCTCTAGGATGTGCCAGGCACAGTGCTAGAGGCTTCTATTTAATCTTTTTTTAGGGAGGTTCCAGGGATTGAACTTAGGGGCACTCGGCCACTGAGCCACATCCCCAGCCTGATTTTGTACTTTATTTAGAAACACTGTCTTGCTGAGTTGCTTAGCATTTAGCTTTTGCTGAGGCTGGCTTTGAACTTGTGATCCTCCTGCCTCAGATTCCCAAGCCGCTGGGATTGCAGGTGTGTACCACCACACCTGACTATTTAATCTTTTTTTTTWAAAAAATATTTATTTTTCTAGTTTTCGGGGGACACAATATCTTTGTTTGTATGTGGTGCTGAGGAGTGAACCCGGGCCGCACGCATGCCAGGCGAGAGCGCTACCGCTTGAGCCACATCCCCAGCCCTCTATTTAATCTTAATAATAATCAAGGAAGGTGAAGGTTTATGTCCCAGCCTCCAACATGGAGACCGAGGACATGAGCCCTGGAGCCTGGGTTCAGATTCTAGATCAAACATTCACTGGCTATGTGAACTTGAGCAAAAATCCTTATCTCTGGGCCAATAAAGTGGGGATACTGCTGTGTCCTATCATGATGGGGCTGGATTTGTACTCAGTTTTAGAGCACTTGCCTGGCATGCATGAGGCACTGGGTTCAATCCTCAGTACCACATAAAAATAAATAAATATATTGTTTCCATCTACAACTAAAAAAAATCTTTAAAAAAGATTGTTATGATGACCAAATTAATGTCTGTAAAGTATTTCAAAGAACACTTAGCCTAGTGCTACTATTACAACCCATAGATAAGAGATGAGTACTCATGAGTCTCATTCATTTATCTATTGATTATTGCTGGGTACCAGACAAGGTGGTCTGCACTGAGTTCTAGTCATGCTGCTGGTAAAAAGTGCATGAGTCAGCTATGTCTGAGATTGGGAACAGTCTGTGGTACCCCTAGAAGCAGTGGCTGATCTCATGCTGATCTCTGTTCCCAGACTAATTTCCTCTCCTCTTGCTTCTATACCTGGGATGAGGGGCCACAAGGAATGGAGAAAGGACACAGAAAAGTTGGGGAGACAGGTGTGGGGCAGGTGTCTGAGTCAAGGTCCACCGACAGTACTATGCCATGGGAGAAGAGTAGTTTTGACTTCTCCAGTATGAACTTCAAAGTTATCCCTAGGAATATATTTTATGAATTATAAGGCAATCCATTGAGAATACAGGATTCATTGGATAGAAATTTCCCTTTATAGCTGCCAGATAGAGCTCTGGAAAGCACTGACACTCAATGACCTTTTAAAATGTCACCTTGGGGCAGTCATATTGGATAGTAAAGGGGGACTGGGAGTTTTAGAGATGGGGTCCTTCCAGGGCACCTCTTCCACTAACACACTGTGGGTGTTCAGGCAAGCACTTCTGGGCTCCACCAGGACGTCAAGGAGCTGATACCAGTGTCTCCTGGAGAGTCCTCTGACCAAGGGGAAGGCAGTGAGGGAGCTATTAGAAGTGCAGGTTCCCAGGCCCCAGTTTGTTCTGACTGAATCTAGACTAGGGCAGAGCTCAGGATTCCAGGCCCCTCTGTATTAGAACCCTTGAACTAACATTGGGCATTTATAAAAGATACAGGATATTTTACCTCATTCAAATACAAGTGATACCATAAAAGGTGTTAATAGGTGTTTCAGACACTTGTAAGCGCCCCCAAAAGAGCAATGGGACGAGGGCAAGGCACCACTTGTTCCCAAGCCAGATCCAGGAAACAACCTCAAAGGGGGTTGGGAGGGCCACATTTACCAAGCACCCTTGGTGTACCAGGCTGCTTGTGCCAAGTATTTTCCCGTTTTATCTTACCACAGTGTGAAAGCTTAGCATCCCCCTACCCCAAATTCACATTGGAATTTAATCCCCAACGTGATAGTGTTAAGAAGYGGAGCCTTCATGAGGTGATTAAGCCATGAGGGTATGAATGGGATTAGTAGCCTTATGAAAGAGGCCTGAGGGAGTTCCCTTGCCCACTCTGCCATAAGGACACAGTGAGCATGTACCATCTATGAGGAATGGGCCCTCACCAGACACTAAATCTGCCAATGCCTTGCCTTGATCCTTAGACTCTCAGTCTCCAGAACTAAAAGCAACAGATTTCTGTTGCAAATTAGTCAGTTTAAGGGATTTGGGGCTATAGCAGCCAGAACCATCACCCTTCCCTGACAGGTAAGCAAGCCCTGCAGGCTGTGAGTACAGAGATCATCATGTCACCAGTGTTCCTAGAGTGGAGTAGATAAGCACCCCATTGTACTGATGAGGAAACTGAGGCTCAAGGAGACAAAGTAACTGGCCCAAAGATGCACAACAGGTGAGAGACAGTCTGGGTTCCTCTGACTAGAGCCCTGCCCTTTCCAGAAAACCCTAGATACTCTAAAACCAGCTTCAAACTCTCTTCCCCAAAGCCTAAGTGACTGAAAATGGCCCTTGACCATATGCACCACCTCTAGAGGCCTGGTTCTTTAGACCCCAGTGCAGCAGGCAGCCGACTGAACTTTGAATGAATATTTATACAGTTAATAGCATAACCTTTCAACAAGGACAATGATTAAACAATCCGTCTGCTTCCTTTCTTTATAATTAATAAGACATTTGCTGTGTCCCTAAATAGACAGTTCTAATTACAGGCTCTCAAGGATTCATCAGTGCCTGATAGCAGCATCTCACCCTGAAGAGTCAAGACTCTTGGAATGCCAGACAAGAGGGGCCTTGGAGGTCACATTGATGAGCACCCCTGGTCCCAATGTCTTGAGAAAGGAATGATTCCAGATATTCAAAATGCCCGTCTCTCCTGGAATCCCATCATCTCTCTTGTGACATTGTTCTTCCCAAAGTTAGAACTTGATCTGGCTCTCTAGGCCCCAGGTCAGGCCTCTCTGCTGCAGAGCCCTTGGTAGAGTGACATGCAGATCTCCTTTGGAGGAAGATCCTATTATTTCTTCCATTTTACAGCTGAAGAGAGCAAAGCCCAGAGAGGGTATGTTGTCTGCTCAAAGTCTTATAGTGAGGGGCAGAGCTTGACTTCCAAACCAGGTCCAAATACACTGCGTAATTTTTGTATTTAACCATTACACATGGAAAAAGTAGGCCCCACAGGTCTCTTCCACACATCTGAGCTCGAGAGGAGTCACTGGAGGAAGGAGGCTCACTGAGCCTTTGCTCAGGCAGGTTGTGCATGATGGCTATCAGATATCCACTGTTAGGATTCTTGAACCCAAAGGCCCCCTGACAGTGTGATATAAGAGAGAAAGAGCAGGGTTTGAGTCAGATAGACTTGGGTCCAGGTTTCATTTACTAAGGTCCTAGGGCAGGTCAGTTAACTTCTCTGCATCCTGGGGTTGAATAATCTTGGGGGGGGGGCGCGGTTGGTGGATGTTTTAAATGAGGAAACATGGAAATCACTGTATTTGAGATCCTGGAACAAATCTAAAGCTGTAGAAACTGTTTCCCTTAAATGAACTGTACATGCAAAGACTGGTAGGGCACCTGCTTCTACCCTGGGACATGCACATGGGTCCACATGGTTCACCATGGCACAGCCTCCACCTAACTGCAGCCTCTCCTTCATGCATGCCCCCAAAGGACACCTTTGGTCTGCTGTCCAAGTACCCCAGGTTATAAGATGCAGAATTTAAAACCCCTCCCATCTCTCAGACAAGAGAAACCCTCCAAAGTTGGCAAGGGGGCTTGAAACTACTCCCAGGAGTGGCTGAAGGCATTTATTAATTTCTGGAGAATCTTGCCTCAGAAATCCAAATCCATGGGTACTTTCTCCAATACATAAATTCACAAATTAACAAAAAAGGACATGTCTGTTGAATAAAAAAAAGGAAAGTACTTAGTAGCTACTCATTGACTGAGCAAGTCTACATATCAACTCACTTGAATTTTAGAAGCAGACAACCTCTAAATGGGGACTACCAGCTCCAAGGAGGACTGGACACTCAGGTGATGGGAACTACTAGCTCTCCCCAAGGAAGCACAGCATGGGACCATTGCTTTGTGCCCAAGCTGGGAGTTACACCAGGCTCCTTCACGTGGGGTCTGGCAAAATGCTTCTAGCTGGGTCAGTCCCTAACTTGCTGGGTGATCTCAGGAAATCCCTGGGCCTCCATTTCCTGATCTATAATAAGAAGGTGAGCTCGGTTAATCAGCGAGATCCCCCTCCCAAGTTCCATATTCCATATTCGGTAAGGAGCACCCAGAGTGTAACTCATTCCTCTTGAATCAACCTCTCTTCCCCCTGCCCATACCCCTTCCCAACAGAGGCCTGTAGGTGGTTCAGAGTGGTTCCCAGTCAAGTGAGCTATAATTAGAGTTGAAAAGCTACTTTCATTAGGCAAATGTTCTGGGCTTTTCTGTTATGACCCTGGCTATATTTTTTTTAAGTACAGAATTCAGAACCAGAAAGAATGGAGCTGGGAGATATCTTGCCCAATCAGGGACAGACAACATAGTAGGGGGAAATGTAAGAACTGGGAGCTGCCGCCACATCCCTTTTCCTCTCATCATAGCCCCCCTCACTTATACTGTTCTAATACTATAATATTCTAATATCTTACTATTATAAAATGTTGTGTTGTGGCAGAGGTCTTAGAAGCCAACATAATAATAAAAATAACACCATCATTTACTCTGGTACTGACAGTTGCACTTTTTCATGAGATCCTCACAATCCCTATATGGCAGGTATCATTGTACCATTTGACAGATGAAAGAAACTGAGGCTCTGGAAAACTGGGCAATTGGTATGAGGTCTCACAGGCTAATGGACCAGACCCACCTATATCAGATACCAAATCACTATACTTTATTGTCTATTATCTTTCTGCTAGGGGTGAGGAGTGGGACTCTATCCTGGGAGCTGGCACAGTCCCAGAAACATGGTAAGCTATGGAGATTGCTATGGCAACGACAATTAAATGGACAGCGGGTTGGCTGCCGGGATCTCATTCAGCTGGGAAGCTGTGAGCAAAACTACTATCAGGCCCTGCTGCCCCAAGTTCTGCCTGACCCTTGAGGTTTCACTCTGGCAGACCTCTTCCAGGAAGCCCTYCCCAGCCATGGGCCCTGCCTGCCTCTGATCAATGTTAACAGGAAGCAGGGATCCTGGTCCTTGTGCCTTGAGCACAGGCAAGGGAGAAAGAGGATCTCAAAATACTAAGAGTTCAGGAATCTTGATATCATGAAATTCTGGAATGTTAGAGGTCAGGGCCCAGGCAGGAATGAGAAATAGGTAGAACTTCACAAGGAATTATTGGGATATTCCAAAGGAGAGTTGGGCCTCTCTGCTCCTGCATGCTGCCTTCTCTATTGCTCCCACAGGTGTCCTGTCCAACCTCAGAGAGCTTGAAGAGCCTGTCTTTCGTCCCAGAAGGGGGACCTGCCATGAATAAGCTGTGTATCTTTGTGGTAAGTCAGTCAACTTCTCTGGGCCTCCAGTTGCTCAACTGTCAAATAAAGGGGGACCTGGGAGGCTAGAGGGATGGAGCAGGAGGGCCCGGCACAGCCTATGGATGGGAAGGCAGCAAGTGCTGGGATGGGAAGCAGGGGTGGGAGGGGGCAAGACAGGACAAGCAGGAGGCTGAGGAGGGGGTGAGCAGCCCAAGAGAGCAGGGTGAAAAGGCCTGAGGGGGTCCAGGAAATAAGGTGAATAGCAATAGAGACTGAGTTGTGGAGAGAAGGAGGAGCACAGCCCTGGGGCATTAAGATAGCCCCCAGTAATAACCACAACAAGGCCCCTGTTCCCCTCCTTTCTGCCCCCAGTGTCCAGGGTAACTGCTGAAGTGGGCGGATGGCAGAGCTAGCTAACTGCAAGAGTAGAAAGGCCCCCTGTGGCCACAGCCCTCCTCCCCAGATTCACTCCAGGTGCACATGACTCTGCCCTTGGAGGCCAGGCAGCCACAACCAAGTGGATCAACTATTACAGCCTCAGTTTCCTTCTAAGTGGGCCCCACCTCCCTCCCAAGGTTTCTAAGAGATGCAAATAGCAAGTGGGCGTGGCTGGCTTTGTTCCTTCTGAAGCTCAGGACAAAGCACTGGGCTTCCCTCCTACCCTGGCGCCCCAGGACAGCATTGATTCGGGCTATCTGGAGGGGTAACAAAAGGATAGGGCCTGTGGTATGACTGAGGAGGGCAGGGGCAGTTGTACAAGGAAATGACCCCCTTGTGTGCAGCGGGGGTCGCTCTTGCTCTCCTCTCTCTCCCTTTCTCTTTCTCTCACAGACTGGTAGCTCTGTTGCTAGGAGACAAGGAAACCCAGTTATCTCCAGCCACAGCCTTAGATGGGACTGTGGCCTCCATTGTCCCTACCTCTGCCTCTAGGGCAACTATTACCCCTGAAGAAGGGTTCCCGGTCCCCAAAAGCCCCACCATTCCACCACGTGCTMACCCTGTCCCAATCTTTTGTCTCAGGCTTACACAGCTGACACTCTGCCTCTGGACCACTGGGTCCTTCCCCACCCCCTTCTCATCTCCTTTTTAATTTAACAAATGTCACGGAATGACCTGCCTGGTGTAAGTTTGCTTAGAGGATTAGGGCCTGGAAAAGAAATCACAGAAAGACAAAGCCCTGAGTGTGGGAGGCGGGCCTAGGGCTTTGGCCCTCCATATCACCCCTGGCTGCATCTGTCACCAGCCAGCTGGCTAGGGACAACTGGGCTCCAGGGCTCAGCCCACCCAAGGCAGAGTAAAAGGCTAGGACCTCAAAGTCCTGGCTGGGTAGCCACAAGCAAGTCACTCAACCTCTCTGAACTTCAGTGTCCTCCTTTACAAAATTCTGAAAGTGACAGCACTTGCCTCCTGAGACTGCTATGGGGATAAAAGGAGTTAATACACACAAAGAGTTTAGCACAGTGTCTGGCACACTGTAAATGCCTAACAAGTGCCAGCGGCCATTCGCACTACTGGAATTGCGATTTGGGTCCTCAAGGACACCAAGGGGTGGCCTGCAGGAGGTACTATGGCTACTTCTGGGCAAAAGGACTCAATGGGCTGATTCCAGTGCCTGGTGCTATAGAAACAGGGTCCGATGTGCAACTGGTATGAAGAAAGCCCAGAAACAGGTAACTAGCAACTAGAAACGCTTGACTGCTAGGCCCCTGACCCCGGGGTATGGCAGTGTTCAGCTGCTCACCTCAGTTGAGCCTCACAACCTGCTGCCACAAAAGAGCTGATGAGGAAACAGCTCCAGGGCAACCCCCACCCCACCAGTCCAAGGGACAGGACTCACGGCAAGTGGCCTCAGACTCGTCAGAGCCATCAGGACACTCCTCCTCTCCATCACACTTCCACCGCTCAGGGATGCAGTGGCCGTTGTCACAGGTGAAGTCACTGTCTGCACAGGTCTTCTTAGCTGTGGGGCAAGGAGAAGAGCATGAGGGGTCAGGTGCACACAGAAGGCTTTTCTAAGACGGTCTGGTCTTAGAACAGTCTGGTCTTTTCTAAGACAGCAATATACTCTGTCTAAAAGCTGGCCCACGTGACCTCCCACAGTACCACCAGACCACGGAGCAACTCACTCAAGAGGAGACAAGAGGGAGAAAGGCTGACTCACCCTGCACCCATTTACTGAGGGTCATGTGAAGACAGGTCCAGGAGCTCAAGTCTAGCAAGGGTGCCAGCGGCCATCACATCCTTGTCACACCCCTCTCTTCCCTCAAAGTCTACTCCAAGGAGCCCTCTCTGATTCCCATCCTGCAGCTGCCCCTTCAGCCCGTTCTCAGCCACTTTACCTGCCTCCCCACCCCAACCAGCCTGGAAGTCAAGGCCCCTTCCACAAATAGGGAGCTCATGAATCCTAAAAGTAGACGTTTCCTTTGTGGCAAGATTAATGAGGTATTTTGTGCTCATAGTGGTGACCAAGCACCTACTGGGCAAGACACTCAAATCAGTCCCTATCCCCAAGGCCCTTGCAGAGGTCCTACAGGAGACCTCTGTCCTGCACTGGGTTTTGGAACCCAGCTGGGCCTCCTTCCATGTGCGTGACCTTGGGGTAGTTACTTAGCTTTAAGCCTGTATGTAATCTTCTTATATATGTAATGGGAGCAGGAAACAAAGGCTGTGAGCAGTGAGAAGTTACAGCCCAAGTGGAACATGTGCAAAGAACCCACCCCCAGCAGATGCTCGTGAGCAGCGGCTACTGCTGTTTTCATGGTTGGAGTCTTAATTAAAAGTGTAAGCAATGGGTGTTCCGTGTCCACCCAGGGGATATAGCAAGCTCAGTTCTCACAGCTGGTGAGGCAAGAATGTGGGTACCAACCCCAGCACAAGACTCTCTGCTGCCCTATGTGCCCTGTCCTGAGAGGCACTACAGTTTGGTGTCAGGGAGTGGAAATGAGAGTGAGGGCTGTGTCCTACGGTACCCTCATTATTATTGCTGAGCTGGGGTCCCAGCTTCTTCCTGAATGCTGACTGTATCTGACAGGCCAGGGCAGGTTGAGAGCAATTGACCCCTCAGGCCTCCTGTGGGTGAGCTGGGGCTGCCTATCCCCCACAGCCAGCAGGTGTGCAGGGGTGAGGCCTTGAGGACCCCAGCCTGGACCTCTCAATTCTTGGGGCTCCTCTGCATCAAATGTGTATTCAATTTATATCCTGCCCAGGCTTGGTCTGAGGGTCCAGGACTTGCTACAGAGCAGCAAAGTGGGAGAGAAGGAGCACAGAACAGGGAGCCAGGAGGCCTGGACTCCAGTCTTTGCTGTGCTGTTCTGCTGTGTGCCCTCATACAAATCTCTGTCCCTTTCTGGCCCTCAGTTTCTTCATTGGGAAAGGGGCAGGGGATTTGTTGAGATATAACCTTTCAGTGGAGAAGGTAGTTCCAGATGACGAGGCCCAGAAATGGCAGGGACGGTCTCTTTTCAGCACAAAGAGGATATATCAGCACAGCAGGGCTCATCTCAGGCCTTGGGGAGCCCAGTCCTCCCTTGACTGACCTTGGGGCTGATATGCAGGGGCCACCTGGATTATGCCCCTCCCCAGGGGCTGAGGTCCCTTGACCCCCTGCTCTCCTCCTCCCCTCCCCATTCTTCCCAATCCAGTCCCCCCTGGATTCTAGAGGGCTCCTGCATACTCCATACTATTTATAACATCACACCTTGCTCAAGTTGTCCTTTGTCTGAAAACCGTTTCTCCAAACTGCTTTCTTCCACTCTGTGCTTAGATATCACCTCCTCCAAAAAGACATCCCTGATCACTTCTAATCTTTGAGGACCTCCCCTGAGCTCCCACAGTCCTCTAAATGTCACTCTAGAGTACAAGTTGGCAAACTTTCTCTGTAAACGGCCAAAGAGTAGATCTTTAAGCTTCAAGGGCCACATGGTCTCTGTCACACCACTAAATTCTGCCATTGTGGGGCAGAAGTCACCATAGACAATAGTTAAGAGTGAGCACAGCTGTGTGTAAATAATAATTTATTTATAAAAAAAGGCAGCAGGCTGTGGCCTATGGCGTAATGACCTATGCTCTAGATCATCAGTGACTCCATAGCCCTACATGATTAGCTGTCCTCTCTGTCCTCCAAAATGGTGATGTCAGGCTCCGCACTGGACCCAACTTGGTAGATTTCAGGGGGAAAGTGAACTAAATGTCTGGCCTCTGCTCCCACATATCAAGGGCCAGGACTCCACTTCTCCCCAGGAAGTTCCTTCCCATCGACCAGCTTTATTGAACTCCTTCCATGGTCTGCTTGCTGCCCTGCAGGGATCTGGGGAGAGAGACTGGGTAGCTTGAATCCACTCCATTTCTTTTTTTCATGAAATCCTTGCAGTACATCTGCATTCTGAGCTTTCTTCACACTTTCCTTAGCCAGATGCCTCTACATGCAGGCTAGAAGAAACCCAAGGAATCGGAGTCCACCTACAGATGGGGAAGAACCTAAGTCGCAGAGAGGAAAGAAGCCGGCCCAGGAAAACCCAGCAAGGCAGGGACAAGAGCCAGCTCCCCTGTCTCTCAGCCCTCGGCCCCCAAGCAGCCCTCTCTGAGCTCTGCACAAGAGGTCATCGTCAATACCACTTCTTGATAAATCATAGTCTGCAATCATTGTAAAGTGAACACCTGTATAAGCTGTGGCACCTGGGGAATTCTCCCCCATAGGATTCTGCATCCAAACAAAGAAGCATATAGTCTGAGTTTTTCTTTTTTTAACATTCCCCAGATGCTTCCTGGATGGCAGTGTTGATGCTAGGGGTTTTGCTCATGAAGCCCAAGGGCAAAGACTCATTATGTCCTCACTCAACATATGAAGAAACTTGGGCCCAGAGATGTTAAGTTACATGATGGAGGTCACATCTGAATGGGAGCAGAGTCACAATTTGAATTTGCGGGTATATGTCTGCATTTTCCCACCATGCTCCCCAAACACACACTCGGCTGTAGAGGTGGAAGAAAAGCCCAAGGGTAGATGGGGAGGCCCTTTGGAGGCTTCAGTCAGCATCACTGAGCCTCTGCCCTGGGAACACAGAGGAAACAAGTTAGTGGCTGGGAGCACAGAGCAAGAGGGTAAGTTTGGCAAGGATGGATGACCAGGCAGCACCCAGGAGACTGTGTTGTCAGGGTTATGTCCCTTGGTGCAGGATGCCCTCCTAGGGCGCTTTTCTGGCATTCTGGAAGCTCAGGGGTGAGCTTGGCCTGCCTGCATGTCCTAGACCCAGCAGGCACTGTGCAAGGAAGCAGAGCAGCCAAACACCATCACAATCCAGAGGGCAGTTGGGACGTCATCCAGACCCAGAAACGGGGCTGCAGGGCTCGAAGTTCCATAGTRGTGTTTTGCAGAACTTATCTGTTCATTGTCTAGACCAGTTTGGTCATTTTCCATCCTGGCTCCTTTCATCCAAAATCCATGACTCTCTGGTAGCTCCTGTTACTCCCATTTACAGAAGAGGCACTTGAGGCTCAGGGAGGTAAGGATGGCAGCTGGCAGAGTGGAATTTCAGTTCTGTGTGACTATCAAAGCTTGAGCTCCTCCCTCTAAGGCCCTCCACTATCCCAGTGTTCCCCAGCTAAGAAAGAGAACCCCAGAGAGGAAACAGTGAAAGGCCTTTCAGATCCCAGGGACCATCGGACAAGGCAGTGAGGCAGGTCAGGCACTTAGCACAGAGGCACCTGCATGAAGCAGTTCCTTGCAATGTGGCCAGGAGTGTGCAGAATAATTAACCTAGCCTCTGATGACCTGTTCTCTGCTAATGCACTGCCCTGAGGAGACTGAGGCAGCAGGGTCACTTTCAGGTTTGGGACTCAACTGAACTACCTTGGGAGGTCCCCACTGGAAGTGTACCACAGAGAGACTTAGCATCAGAGCTAAGATTGAATCCTGGCATGGCTGCAGCCTCACTGAGTGACACTGGACAAGTAAGTACCTTCCCTCTCTGAAACAGTGGCACAATGGCTTCCCATGCAGCACTGCCACAAGGCAAAAGTTTTCTCTTGGGGATCTCAGTAAACATCCCAGCATCGGATCATTCAGTGTAACAGGTCTCAGAGTCCTCATCAAGGGAAGGGGCTGAGCTATTGTCCTGGGGCTGTCAGAATAAGCCATGCCAGACCCCACTCTCCTGGCCTTGGCTCTGGTTCCCAAGACGATTCCCCAGCTGGGCTGGAGGCCGTGGCTCCGTTTCCAGGGATTTATGTCCCTCTATGCCAGTCTGCCCCTTGGACAATGCCCACCTCTGTGGGTCCCTATATTCCACAGCCCAGGAGTGATACATAGTCATCCAGGGTCTGCGACATCATAATCTGGTGCCATGGCAACAGATGGGCTGCCACAAAAGACTTGAGATTCCAGAGGGCAGTAAGGAGGGGCTGACCCCAGGGCACAGCAGAGTGGGAAATCCAGGACAAAAGAAATTGGGAGCTGCAATTTATAAGGAACACAGGCCAAGGAAAGCATCAGATGGTCCAGGGCCAATTGGACTCTGCTTTGCCATTTCTGGGCGGTGTGATGTTATTCAAGTTATACAACTTCTCTGAGCCTCATTTGCTTCATCTGCATTCAGGGATACTGTCCTTGCTTTACAAAATGCAGAGGGTTTGGGGATAAGGATGGCACTAGGGCTTTAAAAAGCAGAAAAAGTGAGGATTGTGAAGTCAGCGCCCTGGCCCCAGCAGCTGCATGCAATGCGGGGTCCATCAGTTGGCCTGTCTGGGCCTGCCTCCTCATCGGGAAATGGAGGCATGGTGCTGATTCTTAAGCCCGTCTCAGCACCCAGGGGCTGTGATCTTGTGAAATTATTATGATCACTCAGCACCTCAAAGCTTCCTCCTTCCCTGAGACAGTATACACCCTCACACTGCTCCCACCCTCACTCCCCACAGCCCAGTACAGACAGGGCTTCAAAACAAAGACTCGTCAGAGCTGCCCAG